GGGCACTTGGGCTCCTGGGCTCGGCTTGTTCCCTGCGGGTGACAGAGCAGGACAGCTGTGGGAGGGGCTGTGGGGATGGAACACAGCTCACCATTAGCAACTGTGCTTTTGTTCGATTTAATCTAACCTCAGCGTGACTTCAGAGGGCCGCCTATGGCTGTGGTGCCCACACTGAGCTGGGCAGCCTGAACTGGGGCCCAAGGCCCTAACGACTGCGCAGACACCCTCAGTGCTATAGATCAGCTTGAAGCTTCACGAGCAGCTGGGACCCAGGCTGGAAAGTCTGGCTCTCCGGGGTCAGACAGGGAAGGACCATCACATGCCAGTCCCCAGCGGGCAGAGCCTGGGCTGGGCTGTGGGGCAGAGTGGGGAGATCGGGGACAAGCGGCCCTTCACAGCCCAGCCTGGACCCTGCTCAGCACGGGCCTCACCCTGGCGTCCGGGCGCCTGTGTCCAGTGGCCGTGCAGCTCCAGGGTGGGAACCCAGGGACCTGAGGCCAGCGAGCCTGTGGGACGCATCACACCAGGAAAGTGCCTGTTGTCTCGTCTCTGCCGTGAGACAAAATGTTTACACGACACGAAAGGCAGGCCGGGCGCTGGGAGTCCACGAACTGGCTGCAGAGCATCCACGGCACTTCCAGCGCTGTCATGCTGACGCAAGGACAGACAAAGAGACCAAGGGGCAGGGCACGGTGCCGACACAAATTCGCACATGCGTGGCCCATGAGCACCTCCGAGGGACCCAGGATGCACGCTTACAGGGGGGTCTGGCACCCACTGGGGCTCCGCACGCAGAGACTGGAGCGGAATTCCTACCTCACGCCTAATGCAAGCGAACTACAGTGCCAGTATAAGCTCTGAATGTGCGAACCAAGCCGGAGGACTCACAGAGGAAAAGCAAGGGAGCCTGCATGACTTGGACCTTGGCAATGATTCTGGCTATGTAGAGGAAACAAAAGAAAAAAAACCCAGATAAATCCATGCAAAACTCTGTGCATAAACATTAACCGCAGCCCGATTTAGAGCAGGAGGCCCAAAGGTGGACACAGGCCAGGTGCCATTCGCCAAACAAACACATCCATCACATGCGGCCTGTTCAGACAATGAAGTATTACTCAGCCGTCAAAAGGAAGGAAGTTCTGACACATACTATAACGTGGATGAACCTTGAGGATGTTTCGCCGTGTTCATAAACCAGTCACTTCCGCTTATCCGAGGTAGGCAAATTCACAGAGACAGAAGACAGAATGGTGGTTGCCGCTGGGCCGTAAAGAGAGGGAATAGAAAGTTGTGCGACACAGAGAGCATTTCAGTTTTGCAATTTGAAAAGACTTTTGACATGAAAAATGGCTAAATGCAAACTTCATGCTACCCGTGTTCTCCCACAGTAAAAGAGTCCCGATGGGTGTGGAGCTGAGGCAGTGCTAGTCATTTCCGTTTGGCTGGCAGGTAGCAGGTGCCCGTGTAGGTTAACGGTTGCTACCATGGCGACTGTGCTGCCCACTGCCACCCATGAGAGCTTTGCATAGGCACAGAAGAGGCAGAAGCAGGTCCTGGTGTTGCTCTGCAGCCGGAAGCTTCTAGATCAAGTAGAAAGGAGGACCCATAGGGTCCTGTTGACACCGTCATCCTGGTGAATAGTCCTTAGGTCCCCAGGCAATGTGGACACAGCTCATGCGGGGGCCTCCGGCCTCTTGGCTGCCCAGACCGCTCGTGCCCGCATTGGGCACCGCGGAGGCCCAGCCTCAGCCAGGCACCAAGTCCGACACCTGCGCTCACTGGATCCAAGGCCGCACCTGCAGGAGGAGTGAAGCACCGGATGCTTGTGCTGCTGCCTGGGGCCAGTGTTGTGGCCATGGCCTTCAGAAAGAGCCCCTCGGCCGGGCCCCACAGAGCCTGCAAAGCTGGACACTGGTCCTCGGGCAGGGCCAGACAGGGACCGCTGTCACCTAGTGCCAGGCTGGGCCATGGCCCTGGCTCTTCCCCTGGCCCCAGCCCAGACCCTGCAGTGTGTGCAGAGCCAGGCCTCCTGCCACTCAGCCCCTAATGGACATCTGGCAGCGAGAGCCGGCCTGATCTTATCGCCTGGCAAGCTTGGCTCCACCAAAATAACCTCATCTGCAAATAAAATAACTCAGCCAACGCCCGCCTGCTTGACCCCCGTGGGGAGCTCTACACGGGCAGCTCTGGAGCCAGGCTGAGGCAGAGGGGGTGCAGGGGCAGCTTTGGGGTGGTTTCTCTGCCTCTTGGACAGAAGACGGCTGGGGCAGGAAGAGCGCGCACCCTTGCAGCAGCGCCGACTGCATCTACATCACCCGGGAGTTTTCTTTTTCTGGCTCAGCCTCTGCCACAGCCCGGCCAAGAGGCTCCAGGAAAATCGTAAATGCGTCTGTGGTCTGTGGGGGAGGCCGGCAGGGTCCACGGGCCCCGGGGGCCCTGGTCACCTGGTGGTCCCGAGCCCAGCCAGCCCACTCCTCCAGGCCCAGGGCTGGGTGCGTCACACAGGAAGCTGGGACAGAGCGCACTCAGCCCTCCAGCTGGGCACAGAGTGGCTGCGTGACCTCTGGTGACGCAAGTCACCTCTCCGGGTCCGCTTCTGTGGGGGAGGCCGGCAGGGTCCACGGGCCCCGGGGGCCCTGGTCACCTGGTGGTCCCGAGCCCAGCCAGCCCACTCCTCCAGGCCCAGGGCTGGGTGCGTCACACAGGAAGCTGGGACAGAGCGCACTCAGCCCTCCAGCTGGGCACAGAGTGGCTGCGTGACCTCTGGTGACGCAAGTCACCTCTCCGGGTCCGCTTCCCCGACTATAAAGCAGGGGAGGAGGGGGTGTCAGGTGTTTTCCTCATTGTCTTGTTCTGGGCCCTTATTTTCTCCGGAAAGCAGCCCAGGAGGGGGCTTGTGGGTAAGGCCGGAAGACTGAGGTTCTCTGATGGACGCAGGCGCAGGTGCTCAGCCCTCTGGGAGGTGGGGACTCGAGCTGGTGGTTCCGATTCCCCAGAGCTGCCCGTGTCCACCTCAGCCACTCCGGCTTCTTCCGTTCCATCGCCTGCCTATTGTCCACCCATCTGTCCCTCTCCTCCACCCTCCTCTACCCTCCTGTGGTGAACTCTGCCCTCCTCCACCCTGGACTCTGCTTCTTCTGAGGCCTGACTCAGACCCCAGCCCGCCCCACCCCCACCCTGACTTAGTTTGCCCAGAACCTGGGCTGTTGCCCCAGTTGCTCACTGAGCGAGCAGCCTTCTCTTGGAGGTAAAAATAGCCCCATTTCTATGTTCAGTTTGACAGTTCAACACACTGTCCAGGCTGGGACACTGTCCTGTGACTTATTTACACCCCAGGGTGCTACTGTCTATTAAATCAGGACCCTTAGGGCTGAGATGTTGGACAGGACCCGTCAGAGCTCATTAGAGACAGTGGTCAGCACCCCTGTGGCCGCCACCAGCAGGCAGCAGGCAGTGCCCAGCCCAGAGAGCACGACTCGAGCTACGGACGAGGACGCAGGTCCGGTGCCAGGGCAGAGCCCACACTGCGCTGGGCACAGGACGAGAAGTGCAGAGCCCACCAGGACGCACCGGAGAGGCTGGGGCAAGCGGGGAGGTGGACAGAGTGGGGAGACGGGGAGATGGGGCACCCGCTCCAGGGGCTGTGAGGGCACCCGGAGGCCTGGAGTCGGCATGGAATCAGCGCTGGAAAGGTGGAGAAATCTTGGGGTTGGTGCAGTGCGCAGTGACATCGGGGACAGTCGCCCGCCTCCCCGCTGCCTCTCCGTCACCAGCACACAGCTGCACGCCCCGGACTTGGCAGTGCAGTGGGTTGAAGACAGGGACAGGGATGAGCAGGCGCGGGCTGCTCCCTGTGTGGTCAGAATGGTGACCCCCACAGCCCCCGGGAGCAGGCTGAGCTCCCTGAAGAGGGGCGCGAGGCTGACTGCAGAAGCACATCGGGGCTGGCCCACTGCACACGGCTCTCTGGGCTGGGACTGACGAGATCTGCAGTCACAGAACATTTCCAGAGCTCTCCGGGCAGGGACAGAACCCAAGTGGCCCAGGGCTCAGCGCCCCCGCGGGTTTTCCCGGGCAGAGAGGACTCGCCGGCGCCCCCTGGTGGTAAGGATCAAGTGCACTCAGCTGCCCAGAGCAGCCGGGTGGATCGGGTTTGTACTGTTTCCCGGATGCAGCACATGCTTGAGACCGAAGATCAAGTAAGCAGAGAAAACACGGAAGGGAAAACAGCAACCGCTCCTGGCTGGGTCCTCCTCACACTCAGGGCCACACCCCGGGTAATCCACTCTGAATCTCCCTTCTGTCGGTGAGAGGAGAGAGCAAGCGTCACCATGGGATGAATGAGTACGTGTGAGCACCAATCCCACCCGAGCCCACCTGGGCGGACTCAAGGTGCCCTCCTTGCTGGAAAGGGCATGTAGGAAAGGGCACCTGTGTATAGGTAGGAGTGCTGTCTTCCCTTGGGGCTCAGTGCCCAGCGGGGGTCAGGTCCTAGCCTCCCCAGCTGCCTTTCCTGAATCAGGGCACTGGCTGCCCGGAGGTGGTGGGATGACAGGAAGCCATGGCCACATGGGCCTGGCTGTGGGCACAGAGAGCAAAGGGAGGGAGGGAGGGAGAGCTTGAGGTTGTGCTGCCCAGAACCAGAATCAGGAAAGACTGAGCCCCACTGTGATCCAGGACGCCCGGAAACCCTAGCCGTTCTCACACCCTTCTAGGCAAGTGGCGTCTTAGTCCAAGTGACAACAGCCAGACATGCCTGCGGATGGGTGGGGAGTGGGTGAGGGCTGGGTGCTGGGTGATCCTCCTTTCCTTCATCCTCCTTTTCTTATCGTCTCCTTTTCACGGGTCTTCCCATCTCCATGAGACCTGACCACTGAGCTGTTAGTACGGTGTGGGTGGGCACAGTTGCTTGGACCTCTGTTCCCGCATTGGCTTTGTTGTCTCCTGTGACTGGCAGAGAACCCAGGCGCTGCCCTGGGAATCAGGGTCCTTACCAGCAAACATCTCCAGTGCACCTGGCCCAGCCTCGGGATGGACAGTGGGGTGAGTACAGGGGCAGGTGGCCTTGGCACAGGCAGGAGGTCAGGCAGGCAGTGGCCTCTTCCGTCCTGAGCAGGCTTGGGGACTGGAAGGACAGAGGAAGGGGACAGATGGCACTTGACAGGATCCCTGCTCGTGGTGACCGCAGGTCACCTCAAGGGCTTGGGGTGCAGAGCCGCAGGAGGTCCTGGGATGAGACTGTGGGACAGAGATGGCGCTGGGGGTGTGGTGGGCACAGCCGGTGGCCGCTGGGCCGGGAGGGGAGAAGGAGGAAGGCAGGGAAGGGGGTCCGGGCAGAAGGAGCAGGGAACAGAAAGGGCCCGGTTGGGTTGGGGGCTGGGGGCAGCTGGAGGTGGGCACTTCTGACCAGAGCTCCAGGGAGGGGTGGCCTCTCAGGGTCCTCGCACTGTCCCTGCAGGCCTCCCCTCAATGGAATAGTCATCCACAGGCTCACTGGCTTGTCCGTGGCACTTTATAATGTATTCATTGCACAGATGCCGCATGGATATATTGCCGAAAAATTTGCATAGCCTAAAATAAAGTTATGTACAAATAAACAATATATAAAATTACGTGGCATCTCTTCCTGCACAGTGATCTGGCCTGCTCTGGTGGCCCCCAGCAGAGAGCAGTGCTCAGGCCCCACAGGGAGCTCCCCAGCAAAAATGGGGAGCTGAGGCCAGGGAGGAAATGGGGCAGGAGCCAGGCTGAGCCCCCAGGAAGAGGGGGAGCGCTCTTCCCAGCCCACCTAATCTCCTTGGAGAGTCTTTCTCAGGGTCCCCCAGCATCTGGTGGGAAAGCACATAAAACAGGCCCAGGGTTTACGAGGGCCCGCCTGGCTCTGGGCAATGTCCCCAAGATAAGGGACTATTAAACCGCCCGGGGCGGGGCGCTCCGCTGTCCTTGGCTGCCTCCCCGGAGATGGGGCCATCTGACCCGGGCGCCGCCCCCCTCCCCAGCTCTCTGGGCTGGCCCCAGATGTATGCGCCTTCATCTGCTAGGGACACTATGCTGAGCTCCCCGGGCTGGCAGGTCATATGGGGAAGGGTTGCCCACCCGACTCCTGGCTCCCCCAAACCTAGGGGCCCAGCAGGTCTACCACACTCGCCCAGCAAAACCCTCTTCTGTGCCCTCTGCATCTGCTCTGGGGGTGTGGTCCCTGCTGTGCCCATAAATGACCTCAACAGCAAAATGCAAAGCACCCTGGGAAACAACACGCTGACATACAGCAAACACAGAGGCAGGACGGTGGACTTCCATGCTGGTCACAGCCCTGGAGCCCCAGAGCCCGGCCTGTCCACTTGCCCTTACCCCGGTAATGTTAGCTGGGCAGCTGGCCAGAGCACGCGGGATGGCAGGGTCTGCGGGGATGGGACCCACGGGCCACGCCCTCCAGGTGGCCACCAGAGTGTGGGGCAGGGGGCTGGCAGGGAGACCGGAGGCAGCCTGGCACCCAGGGGGTGGCGGTAGCTGGTGTCGGGTCCGGGGGATGGCGGCTTCCACTGTGGACGGTCCGGGGCCACGGCAGTCAGAGATGCTGGCGAGTGTGGGCATGGCCAAGATGTCAGCTGCCTGCCCACCACGCACTAGGGACCTTGAGGACCTCTGGGTGGCGATGGCAGCTGCTCCATGTCTGTCCCCGGATGCTGGGCACACTTCCTTCTGCCAAGTAGAACCTGGCCCCACAGAGAAAAGTGACCAGGTTGCTGCTCCTGCCACCCCCAGGCAGAGTCAGTGAACCTGGTACTGGACCCCACAGAACAGGACCCTGGGTGCACCCGGCTGTCTGGGTGTGGCCTCCATACCTGCTCTGTAACTCTGAGACCCAGCTGACCAGAGAGGTGTCGGCGTCACTCTGGGCACAGGCTGATGGGAACGGCTCACCAGAAACACAGTGACTGCCTTCAGGCCGCATGTGTCACCTTTCACAGGGCTTCTCACCTGTCTCGGGGGCCCTGGGTCCCAGGCCAGGATTCCATTGACTCTCAGTGACTCCAGCCGCCTCCTGCAGCAAGGCGCTGGGCTTTGCAGGTCCTGATCAGCTCAGGGTCCTGGGCCGAGTTTGGGCTCTGGGACTCAGATCTGAAGAGCCCATCTTCCTGCCTGTGAGGCAGGGGCATGAAATGGACCTGCGGCTCCACAGGAGGTGAGACTGTCATGGAAAAGGGTGAGGACAGTGGCCGTCACCTGCAGCCTCAGTGTGCTAAACCTCGTCACGCGTCTGGATCAGAGTTGTAAGAGTGACCCTTGCTGTTTCCAGTCCTGATACAGCGCTTCACCCAGAGCCTGGCACACAGTAAGGATGCAGGGGTCTTCCCTTCCCAGACCTAAGTGGCTCCGGGGCTGGAGGCTGGACGTCCGTGCTGGATGCAGTTGTCCTTTCCACGGCATGAAATGCAGGCCCTGCCGGAGAGGTGCCACTTCTCCAGGCAGCTCAGGCTCTGCGGCCGGTGCTGAGAGACACACCTGTATGGACCCTGTCCACCATGCAGGGCCCTGTCAGAGGTGACCAGGGACAGGGACAGGGACCAGCAGTCTCAAGTTCTGGCACCAGGGGCTGGTCCTGCACGGAGTCAGGTCTGCAGTCTTCGCTGAGGGGCTGCTCTGCCAGAAACGTGAATGCCCCTGACCTAGGAAGCTCAAGGTCTCCTGCACAGTGATGTCAGGGGATACAGACACCACTCATCTCCACTCCCTGGCTGTGCAGCCGGACGCATAAGTCACAGGGCTGCTGGGGGTGAGTAACAGGGAGGAAACGACTGTGTCTGGCTGCCCCAGCAATGGAACCAGACCAGAACCAGACTGCCAATCCCTGTCCCCACCCTGCCTGGTCACCTCTGACAGGGTCCTGCATGGTGAGCAGGGTCCATACAGGTGTGTCTCTCAGCGCAGAGGCCACAGTGGAACAGGGCAAGGTCAGTTTTGGATCATGGTTTCGGAAGGTTCAATCCATGGTGAGCTGCTTTCAAGGCAGAAACTGCATGGTGACGGGGGTAGTAGAGGAAGCTGCTTACCTCAGGGCAGCCAGGAGGCAGAGAGCAAAGGGAGGAGCCGGGAACTAAAACACACCCTTCCAGGTCACACCCCAGGGTCCGCCACCAACCAGGGCCTCTCCTAAGAGCACATCAGCCCTGAAGGCATCCCTGGATGGATGTACTGATAAGCATGGCCCTCCACAACCCAATCACCCCTCAAAGCACCACCTCTTAGCACATGAGATTTCGGGAGACATTCAGACCTAATCATTGCCAAGATGCAGAAGTGTGCTGTGGATTATGGGGAGCCACGTAGAGCGCTGCCATCTCCGCTGCCACCATCAGCGTCACCCCTGGCCCTCTGCTCCCCAGATCTGGATGCCCTCGGATGGAGGAGCGCTGGGCACTAAGGGGGAGGATGAGACGCCCTGAGCTTCCTGTACCGGCAGAATGACCCCCATGAAGACTCCACAGCCCACCCCCGGGCCAGCACGATGCTAGGTACCTGGCAGAGTGTGTCAGGGTTGCGGGGCTGCCCACCTTGCTCATCAGCTGATCTCAGAATAGGGGAGAGCCTGGCTCATCTGGGGGTCCACTGTCACCGCAGGGGTCCTCGGAAGCAGATGAGGGGGACGTAGAGAGAACTAGAAATGCTGGCACGGCCCCACAGAAAGGCTCCCACAGCCACTGCCCGATCTGAAGACAAAAGCAGGGAAGGCTGCAGCCTCAAAACCCAGAATCAGGATAAATCAGATCCCCCAGAGCCTCCAGCACGCAGCTCTGTGACACTCCCAGTTCAGCCCTGTGGGACCTTTGTCAGACTTGACCACAGAGGCCGAGACGAGCTTTACTTCCACGCTACAAACCCGCCCCATCCTACTCCGCGCCTCCAAGCCCCGTGCACAGTAGGCCCACAACAGATATGTGTTGAATGAAGATCCCCACCTGTGTTCCTGCCGCCAGTGCAGGGAGGGGACAGAATCCGTGAGGACAGATGCCCAGGTGAGTGTCCATACAGCTGTAAGGACACCCACTGATAAATGTATCTCGTGTTAGGGTGAAGCACTGCTTTTTTTTTTTGGTTTTGTTTTATTCTTTTGGTTTTTTGAGACAGGGTTTCACTGTAGTTGAGACTGACCTGGAACTCAGCATGCAGCCCAGGCTGGTCTCGAACTCAGCGATATTCCTGCCTCAGCCTCCTGAGTGCTGGGATTATAGGCATACGCTACCAAGCCCGGCCGAAGCACCACTTTTTGTTCACCTGAAATTCAGACTTACCTGGGTGTCCCGGGCAGTCAGGCCCACCAGGCACAGTGCCTTGCGCTCTGCTCCATCAGCGGCAACACAGGGACGGAGTGGGACAGCACTGGGGCCCAGGCGCCGGCCAGGCCTTGGCCTCAGGTCTTCCTGCCCTGCCGGCATTCCCCTGCGTGGTGGGGTCACGGAAACCGCGGAGGAAGCAGAGCCATGGGAAGTCCTTCCCGCAGAGGCCGAAGGAGGCTAAGCCACCAGGGAGCCTGGGGACAGAATCTCACCATTCTATTTCCGGGAAAATGATACAAAAATAGGGTCCATGTGGAAAGCCCTGTGGCACCGTGACTGCTGGAGGGGGGCCGTGAGCCTGGCGCTCGGTGACCCCGGCCTGGACGGCCTCCCCATTCCCCCGCAGGAAGCCCCTCAATCCACACGGTCACACGCAGGCACGGCTCCCAGAAATAGCCTCTGAAGAAAGCCCCGAGAGAGGACTGGGCTTTCTTTGGCAAACGCTTTCCATTTGTTTCCTTAGCAAGGTCTCCAAACCACCTCTGATTTTTAACGGAAATTAAAATGAGAGATCAAGGGATTTGCCCAAGGCCACGGAGCACAATGAACACTTGCTTCCCCCAGCCTGGGGAGGGGGCGGCCAGCCTTTAAATAGTCACCACCATAGCCCCGCGACACCGCCTCCCCTCTTGTGGCTGGAAGTGGGCTGCACGCCCCACGGAGCCCGGGTGGGCCGCACAGGTCAGGAGCCAGAGAGCACCCGGGTCACCTGCAGCAACACAGGTGGCCCTGACCCATCTGCCTCTGACCTGGGCGAGGCAGAGCCTGGTCCTGGGTGGCATGGGAGTTTGGCCCTGTCCCCTGGGTGCACAGGGCTGACCCCGCCGGTCAGTGGCACAGTGGCACATCACAATCGTCATGAGAGCCTCACTTCCTGTGGGCGAACTCTTAGATCTAAGACACCGAGCCAGGGTGCAAATGGAGATTAGGAAGCTTGGGGGATACAGGAGAGCTTTGCTGTAACTGTAAAGTGTGCACTAAGTTTCTTCGGGGACTCTTCCCAGGTGGGGGCGTGGCACAGTGGTCACTGCCACGTGGGGCGTCCAGGTCTCCGGATGTCTAGGAAGCAGGGTCACTGCCTCGGGGAAGGCCCTGTGGCTTCTGTTTCCTTCGAGACGCAGGCTGTCCAGTGTGGTCCTCCACCAGGCCTGTCAGTCCTGTCAGCCCGGCCCACCTGAGGGCGGGATTCCCGCGGTCCCACGACCGTGCCAGTGCTCACAGTGGGGTCTTACTCACCAGAGCCTTACAGTGGGTTTGGGGAGGGGAGGCAGCAAGTGGACTCCCGCTGCCACAGGACCTGGGCTCCCAGAGCTTCTGGGAGAGGCGCTGTCGGTGCCGGCCCCTCTGCTGGCCACAGGCCTCAGCCGGGTCTGCTCCTTGCATCTTTAGGGCTGGGTGAACAGGAGGAGGCGGCGCTTGCCAGGCGCTGGGCACACGGGCATATGCACATCTGCAGGGCACATCCACGTGTCTCATCCTGGCGGGGGCAGCCAGACATCTGCGGGCAGCTGCTCGCCCTGAAAACCCCGTCTCCTCACCCTTACGACACGTCATGCAGCAAAGATGCCGTGAGCGTTCGCTCCCATCTTCCCAGCTCGCCAAAAAGAAACCAGATGCTAGGAAGGCGGCCAAGCACCGTGCAACCTGCTCCCCTTGGCCGCTTCACAGTATCCTTTTTGAAGGCAGCACAGGGACGAGGTTTGGTGCCATGGACATGGACCGGGCATCAGACGGCGCCAGGGGCATGGTGCTGGGGAAACTCCGGTCGGTGCCTACATGGATGCGGGAGCTCTAGGGCTCTGTTCCTGGTGCCAAGGAGCCCCGTCACCCCCAGACCCAATTTCCTGAGGTCACCTGTGCTTTGGACGTGTCCCCAGCTGACTGGAGGTGGCCCTCAGCACACAGATGGCCGTTAGCTCTGGGCCTCAACTCACTAACGGGGAGTAAGTTAAGACCCGGAGCTCGGGCTTTTCGTGTCTCTGCACTGCCGACGGCTATTAGAATTATGGCAATGCTCCCCTCCACAGCCCTGTGGCTTCATACTGGCGATTCCTGGGCTGTGAGTCACCAGACTAACATGGTTGACGTCTGTTGCCAGTGACCCAGAATGGCGGTTTGGAGGGAGGAATGGGATGAAACGTCGTGAAGAAGTCTGGTTAAGCTGGTGGAGCACATACACTTCTGAGAATTCCTAGCCCTCTGCCCCCCGCCCTCTTGAGTTTTGGTTTGGGGCAGAACCTTCTGCTGTTTTCCCTGCGTGAACCCCAAAGGCTGCAGGACAGAGGGCAACCTGGACTCTGAGGGTCCTGCCGAGCATGCCGAGCCCCTCTTGCACCTGACAGTGGCCTCGGCTACCTGCTGACTGGGTGGGGAGCTCAACGTCCACTCACCTGTGCACCACGGCCCAGCCACGCCTCGCACATCTGTCAGCTCCAGGGCATCTGTCTGGCCACAGCAAGGCAGGGCCGCCCTGAGTCGCACGTGGAGGTGTACACACGCTGGGTGCTGCCTTGCCCACCAGGAAGTGTGTGGGTCCCGCTCCCCTCTGAGGACGAGACACAGGAGGGGTGGGAAGCTACCGCCTGTGAGTGTGTGCACGGTTGTGTGTGCACATGTGTGCCTGTGCATGCGTGTGTTTTGCATTAGCTTTGGACCTGCATCTCCAGTTGTCCACCAGAACACGGCCAGCCGGCAGGGTGTCCTCTGTCCCTAATGACTGAGGAGCTTTTCCTAAACACCAGGACATTCTGTGCACACCACAGCCTGGTACCGAGCTGAGCAGTCATGGCTGTGGAGCCCATAGTGATCACAGACAGTGCGTGTCCGTGTCCCCGTGGGCCCCACTGCCTGGAGAGTCAAGGGACAGCACGGGCTGCGTTCCAGTGCAGGTCCCATCCCACACTAGGCGTCTGTCCCCTCGGCTCCTCTGGTCTTCTTCACTTTCGTGGCTGTGCTGGCCAGGGTTCTCTAGAGAACAGAACCCACCAGAAGTCTGTACATGCTGTACAGGTACACAGGGGATTTGGTGGGTAGCTCATGAAACGGAGCCAGAGAGCCGCTGAGGATATCTGTACACTGGACAGCCAGGCATCTGGTGGCTGCTTAGCTCAGGAAGGTGGAAGCCATGGGATGAGAGAGATCAAGGACATGTGCCTGTCTGAGGCTGGTGGGGTGGGAGCTCCATAGAGAGCTGCTGGTGTGAGTCCAAGGTGAGAGGCTGAAGAAGCTGGAGACTGATGTTTGCCAGCAACAGCGAGAGCAAGACCTCAGCCCCCCAAGCCACGGACTTTTGAAGGCAGGCTGACTTCCTCCTTCTCCTCGACTTCCACCCAGGCTGCAAGCCCATTGGATGGAGCCACCCACTGTTGGGGCAGGACTTCCCCTGGGTTGGCTGGCCCACATGCCAGTCATCCTTGGACGCGCTCTTGCCCCGGAAGTGAGCTCCCCTCTGTGCTGGACAGCGCCTCACCCGGTGAAGTTGGCACGGGTGACTGTCACCGTGACTGGCTTTCTGGAAACTCAAGGTCCCTGATTACATTGCTTGGCTCTCAGCCAGGGTCTGTGGATGTTTTCTTGTAAGCAGACTCGGTGCGTGAGTTTTGGGCAGGACACCCACGTGTGACCCTGTGTGTTCTCAAGGGAGCCACATGACGTCCTCGTCCCATCAAGGTCCAGAGCCCCTGTGCCTGCCTTGTGAGGTCACTTTCCTGGCCTCTGTAGTTAGTGAGCATCCAGCCGGGACTGCCTAGAGACCATGTAGAGATCTATCCCCGCACAGCACGCTCGCCTCTCCTCAGTGTCCGCGAGTCACTCCCAGCTAGCCCATGCGGTGACTGATCTCCTGTCGCTCCCCTGACTCCTGGCCCCTCCACAGGAAAGAGTCTGTCCTACGCCCACCCCACCCCCGCTTACCACAGCGGTGGATTCACCAATCCATCCGTGTTTCCTGTTCGGCTGTGGCTGCTAACACCAGCATTCGTGGTGGTATGGTGCCCTCCCTCGGCCCTCAGGACCCTCCAGGTGACTTCGGTCTGCCCCTTCCCAAGCACTTCCTGCGGTCTGTTCCCAGCCTCAGAGCCATCCCTGCCCACACTGAGACCAGACTCCCGGCTGCAAGCAGGGTAGGGAGGAGTAGGACTGGAGGGCCTGCTGCTCCCCAGTGTGGCTCCCCACAAATGCCCGCATTGAGGAGGGACACACTTCCAGACGGGTGGGGTGGCCTGTCTTTGAGATCACGCACCTGCCTGGCCTTGCCCAACTTCCCGCCCTCTGCAGGGACACGCCTGGCCCTCTGTCTGTGCCCACAGGACAGCAGCCGCCCCGTACACGGGGTCTCAGTGGGGGTGAGATGTTGCGAAGGCACGGCCTCCCTTGCTGTTTTCCCTCCTGCTTGCAAGCCCACTCTGAGCACTGCTGTCTTGCTGTGTCTAGGCTCCCGGTACGCAGATGGCCGAGGCAGTGCAAGTGCCACAAGCAGCCACGGCTCCCGCACCCTGGAGACCTGGCTCAGCCACATGGGCCACTGGAGCTGCCACAATGGAGCTGTGGATGTGAGGCCAGTGGGAGCCAGGATGGCGCCAGCACCCCACCGACCCAGCCGGCCTGGGCATTTGTGTCACTCTGTCCTCTGGACTGGGCAGTGCTGCAAAACCAGCAGGCGCGGGGACCGCAGCTGCCAGCGTTTATGTCTGAGCAGGAGGTGGGTGGCAGGGAGTGAGGCTGATGATGCTGGGATGGAGGAAGGGAGAGGGGACCCTGAGGAGCTGGGATGGTGTCCCAAGGCTGGCCTGTCCCCTCGAGGGCCAGTCACCTGCCCATGAGTGACCACACCCCCAAGACCCCGTCCTGCCCCTTGGAAATGGTGTGAGAACCTTCACAAACGTGCCAGGGCCTCTCCACAGGTCTCTGTCCATGCTACGTAACAGGGCTCAGAGCCCAGGGCCACCCGGGAGGGACAGTCGAGAGCACAGGGTGCAGCAGCTCAGACCCCACTGCAAGCCCTGTGGCCCGGCCAATCCGTGCCTCAGTGTCCTTGCCTGGGAGTGTGGGGAGGAGGTGCCCATCTGGTGGGCTGTGTAGGAGGTGCCGGGCTGGCATGCAGAGGAGTGCCGGGGAGGCCAGGGCCACGGGCATCGAGGCTGTGTGCTGGGCACACAAGGGTGACCCGGGTCAGGTCGGCCTGCGCCGGAACCGCCTCACCTGCACTTCCCAACAAGCGGAATACGACGGGCCAGGGCTGCCGCTCCTTCCAGTCCCCAGGCCTCCTGCAGCCCCAACAGCTGTGCCGCTGGGCCAGTGTGCGGTGTGGACGCCCAGGTGACCCAGGCAGCAGCATCCCATGCCGACGGCTCCTTGGCGCAGACAACCGGGCACTCACTCACGGCAGAAACTGTGGGAATGAGAGCTGCGGAGGAGGACGCATTGGCCATGGAGGGCAGAGAATTAAAACAGTGCAGGCAGGTGAGGTGATGGCAGCCCTACGTCCGGACAGGGACCCCGATGCCCCCACTCTCAGCACCAGGCTTTGCCTCTGACGTCTCCACCAGTGCGGGAAGGAGCTCCACACCATGATACCAGGAGGGAGGCCATCTGTGTGCCCATCAGAGTGAGTACCTCCCCCACCAATGGGCTCCGAGGCCCGGGGACAGGGTGTGGCTGGCGTAGGCAGCACCTTGGGCAATGAGCAACCTGCACAACAGGACCCAGCAGCCCAGGGTCCAAGAGAGCCCTGGACACTTTCTTGTGGACTGTCAAAAAGTTCTCCTGCCAGCCCACAGAGAATAAAGAAAAGCAGTTCCACAGCAAAACGTCAGCTCTTGGCTGGCGTCAGTGTCGGCTCTGTGAAACCCTTGCTCTTGTGGATTGAGAGAGCTCCCTTAGAAGGGCTCAGCTTCTAGGGGAGAACTAGGTGATGCGGACTCTCGAGCACCAGGCCTGCACAGAAGCAGGGAGGGGGCCCCGTGGGCACCTGCACGGCCAGGGCATCCCCAGCTGTCCCTCAGACAGGGCCGTGCCCACCTCCCGCCTCAAGCATCTGGGAATGCCTGGGCCATGCGTGTGTGGAGGGGAGAGGCCTGGTGCTCCTCCTTCTTCCCTCTGCCACGGAAGAGGAAACCGAGGCTGGGGAACGAGAAACCACATCGGCCACACGGAAAGCAAGTGGTGGGATCTGAATCTGGAGCCAAAGTGTTTAGCCCTTGGCCACCTCCTCTCATTCTTCCCAGCTGTGACACTGCTCTGGGACTCAGTTTACCCACCAAGCTCTGCCCTGCCTTGGCTTGGCTGGGAGGAGTGCAGTCAGGACACACAGACCCGAGCAGAGTCACGCGGCCCTACCCGTCCCGGGAGGGTCTCGCTCAGGCGTCGTGCACTACAGTTAAGCACATGAGGCTGCAGAGGAGGCAAAAACACTGCATTTTGTAAACTAACTACCTTATTCCCTCTTTGTTCTGGCCACCAGGAGGCTCAGAGGTGAATTTATGAACACTTAAAATAGTATGTCACTCCCAATCAGAAGATCTTATGTCTACCCTCACCCCCAGTTTCCTTTTACTGTTCATTCCTTATGTCTGATATATATGTAAGTAAATAGTGCATTTTTTATAAACTTTCAAGTAAATTACATAAAACGATAAATACAAGTTTCCTGTCAATCACAGCAGTGAATATAACCCTCTGCTGCATCAGACTGCAGTCCAACCTGAAAAGGGTGGGGATTCTGTCCCTGAGGAAGAAGACAAAGCTGAAGAAGGATAAGCTGCAAACTAACAAAGCCCCCAAGGAGTGCCGTGGCTGAGCTCGGCCCACTTGCGCAGGTGGCCTTTGGCTCCTGCCCATGTAATGGTTCTTCCCACACCTGGTCAGACCTCGCTGAACGCTGGCAGGCTCCTGTGTGCTCGTAGGAAGTGCCATTAGTGCCAAACCTGAAATAATGGTGGTTTTAACACATAAAGGTTCACTTTTCTCTTTTGTCAAACAAATTCAGAAAGAGCTCAAGGTCAATATAGTGACTCACAGCCATTGGGCCCGCAGACTCCTTTGAGCTTTTGTGTCACCCTCCGTGGCACCTCATAGTTCAAGATGGTTGCTGGAGCTTCAGTCATCACATTTCTATTCCAGGTCACAGAAGCGGGAAAGGGACTACTGTACTACAACCTGTCCTTTTCTTTTCCAAGATGGTTTCTCAGCAGTCCTGCCCAGAAGTGCTCACTTCCATGTCATTGGCCAGCCCTAGCTGCAAGGGAGGCAGACAAATCCCAGTCTGCCGGTAGAACACATGGCCTCGAGGAGCAGGCAGGCTGTTACTCAGTGTGTTGATCACAGTGGCCCAGGGCAGAAGGAAGCAGCTGTGCCTCTCAGGTCCCTGCCCCGCTTGTGGTTTTGCACTCATGTGACACAGCCAGCCTCTGCCCCAGTCACGGGGGACCCAGCTGCCCCCTTCTTGGGCCCTTTGTCCAGGTGCCCAGCGCCTTCCGCTCCATGTGGATGGAGCACAGGGCCAGGGTGCCCACACTGCCCTGGGGAGCGGCTGGGCTAGGGGAGCGGTGCCCTCCTGCCGCTCTCTGCTTCCACCCTCCAGTTGGGCACAGGGCACAGCTGTCTTGGACCCCAAATCAGCCCTGCGACACAAGCTCTGCCGCAGGTGGGGAAACCCGGAGCCCAGGAGCAGGATGCCTGTAGGGACAGGTGCCTCAGGCCATGGCCCTAACCCTGTGGACTGGAACCCAGTCCAGACCAGCAGCCACAGAGTCTTCCCTCGGCAACCAGAAGATCCCAGCCAGGCCCCGCAAGCCCTGCTGGCTGCTGGCCGCTGTCCCTACCCCTGGAGGCCAGAGCGGTCCCCTTCCCGGAAGCAGGGAGCCTGGCAGCTCCCGCCAGCTCGGCCTGAAGGATGCAATTAGCGCCCCCAGACAGGCGGAGACACGGCCTCCCCACCGAGACATGAATGGGTCATTTGTGGCTCAAATGACAGACAAATGCAATAATTAGGCCTATTTAGTGAAGAGGGGGTGAAAGGTCAAGCGGGAGGCCACCGTCTCCTGTTACCGCCTGGTGACCGCCTCGGAGACCAGAAGCTGATGTTTGTACAACAAACCCACGCTGGCCACTGCGCCCGGCCACCACCGCCTGCTGCCCCAGGCTTCCCAAGGTGACATGGGCACGTGGGGTCTGGGCCGGCCCTCCGTGGGGCTCCCCCACATGACCTAAGTTTCCCACCGTGCCACCTGACTAGGGACACTGGGCACAGGCTGCACACTGGAAGGGTCTGTGTCATCCTGTCCTCGCCGTCTCTGTCTTCTTTCCCCTTAAAATCTGATTTTGCTTCTTTTAACCCAAAGCAGATGACTTGCCTTTCTTGGCCTGTCTTTGCTCCCTGCCAGCGAGGAATTTCCTGGGGCTTCTGGGGTCTGGAGTGATAGGGGACGGCAGGGCCTCCGGGCAGCAGGAGCCATCCTTGGGGAGGATCTGGGGCACCACCCCTGCCCTTCAGCCTGTGTCCCTGGGCCGCAGCCTCCTGCACACTTGGGACTCAGCTGGATGCAGGGCAGGGCCCCAGGCTCCGTGGGGACCTGCTGGGTGGATGCAGTGTGTCCCCAGGTGTGGCGGGGCTCCACCCCTCATCCAAACATTGCTGAGTGGAGCGGTGAGGCTGCCCACACTGCCCCCTGGCTGCCCTTGACACCTTGTGGAGTGCTGGGCTCCCCGATGTCAGGCTCAGAGCCCCGAGCCCAGGGCAGTTCCTTCGTGTGTTTCCGTCCATCCACTGTCCCGCTGCGGGGAGAGTGTGGTGAGCTTGGGTCCTAGCCAGAGGACAGGGACACTGCCCTCCAGGCCCACTCCAGCTTGGCCTGGGGGCTTGGGAGCTCTGGGGCAGACGGAGGCTGAGGGGGGAGGGGAGAAAGGAGGAGCTGGGCTGGGAGCATTGCTGTCCCAGGCCACTGCTAGAGACGCTGGGACGCCAGGTGTGTGTTTATTCTCCCACCGGGGGGCCTGGGGGAGGGCACAGGACCATCCCTTCCTGGGCAGGGTGCTGGGCATCACCACACAGGCCTCCTGCTCCCCGGTTCCGGGTTTCCCCACCTGCGGGATAGCTTGAGTTGCAGGGCTCATTTGGGGTCCAAGAAAGCCGTGCCCGGTGCCCAGCCGGAGGGTGGAAGCACAGAGCGGCAGGTGGGCACCGCTCTCCTAGCCCAGCCCCACCCTGCCCGGGCTTCAGGTTGAGATGCACAGCCTTCCCAGGACCAGCACCAGCCTTGCTCTCAGAGCCCCTTTCCAACTCTCCAGCCCTCTCCTCCTGCCTGGTGCCCCTGGTTTCCCAGGTTTCAAGGTGGGAGTGGACAGGGGCAGCCCCTGAGAGCCTGGACATATGGTGCCGCCCCCTCTGGCCCTGAACAGTCAGGCGACGGCAGACTCTGCACCAAACTGGGGAGGCTCTGGGGCAGCAGCTCTCGGCCATCCAAGTGCTGGTTCACAGGATCCCAGAACAGGCGTCCAGAGCCTCCGTCCCCTCCCTGCCTGTCCCACAGTGAGAGAGTCGGGACAGGGCTGGAAACCAGCACAGATCCTCCTTTCGGGGATGGAGTGCAGAGGAACAGGTGGGTGGGTGTCCCCACTGGGCAGGACCCTGGCCAGTGGCCGAGCGGAGCCGCTGGTGAGTGCTGGTCTCCAGGAGCTCCTGGGCCCTGGGGAGGACACTGCCACTTCCATTGTGCAAATCGGAGCCCAGGTGTTGAAGTCACCAAAGCGTGTGGCCCTAGAGGATGCAAAGGCAGGGGTGAGCGGACTGAGGGATTAACGGGAGTGTGGAAAGCAGAGGGGAGGGACGCGGGCACCCTGCACTCAGCCCAGATCGGGGCGGCTTCCACCAGGCAGGGGCATTGGGATCTGGCTGCAGCGGACGGCTGAGTGAACCCTGGTGCTGGCCGGCACTGGCTCGTCTGAACTCGGGGGCTGGGGAAGGGAGGATCCTGGGCCCAGGCAGCTGGAGTGGCGGGGGGGGGGGGGGGG